CTGCAGCGATCCCACCGTGCTAGAACGTCTCAGCTCCTCTGAACCCCCTCCTGACAGAGTAACGGTTAGTGGTTTCCGTATTCTGACTTTTGCTTTTGCTTCTGTCTCCTGTCGGGCCACTAACCGTTCTCTCCCTGTCCTTAGACTCGTTCCAGTCATTTACCCTGAGACTGACACCAGAGCCAGGTTCACTTTGAGAGGCAAGGCCCCACCAAGAAAAATAAACCTTTTAACCCGAGTCTTGGTGTTTGTGGTGATTTTGGTCCAGACATTTGGGGGTTCGTTACAAATGAAGTTATAACTATTTGGGCCAAATCTTGAAAGCAACATAACGCACAATCGTGTGCAACACTGAAAGATGTTGGGAGACGACCAAGTCCCTGCAAACCAAATGATTTATTTACATTTACCAGCATAATGTTATCATACAGGATGGGTCTGTAATCCTGAGGTTGCAGGTTCGAGCCCAGGTTGTGTCAAGAAGGGCATCTAGTGTAAAACAATCGATAAATCTTCCATGAGAGTTCCCTCGCTGTGTTGCCCCCTTAAGAAAGGAGCAGCCAAACAACGGCAACAACACTGGATGATTCTTAGTAATCACTTTATTTACATTAAAGCCGTGGGCCTCAGTCCTCGTGGGCCACTTTCCTGCAAGTTTTACTTGTTTCCCTGCTCATCAGCAGGTCTTCAAGTTCTGCAGAAGCTTGTTCATCACTTATTCATCCACATCAAGTGTGTTGAGCAGAGAAACATCTAAAGCATGCAGGATAGTGGCCCTTGGGGACCAGGATTGAGGACCATTGGATTAGGATTAGGGCAGGGGTCCCCAACCTTTTCGATCAAGAGAACCACTTCTGCCCTTTCACTCTCTAAGCAAAATGTCTTTGTAACTTGCTCAACTGCAATTATCAACTGGTGGCTCATGGGCCACTTCAGGTTTGTTGGGGTGTCTGTCTGTATGCGTGTGTGCGTGTGTGTGTGTGTGTGTGTGCGTGTGTGTGTGTGTGCGTGGGGGGGATAATTCAGCCAGTGGGCGTGCCATTATAAACTAAAAGTATATAATAAGTTTTAACCTTTATTGATATTTTTATATTTTAGGACAAAATAAAATACTATGTTTATACAAAGAAAAAAGTTTGTATCAATTTTGATAAAATTTTAAAACATTGAACTCCGCAGGCTCATGTTAGACCTTTTATTTGTGGAAAAATAATTAGGTATCCAACTTTGAAGCAATAAAGCATAAGGCAGGGTTGTTCAACTAAACTGCTCAGGGGGCCACAGTTACTACCGTACTTTCCGCCATATAAGTCGCATCAGTACAATTATGTCTAATAAAGTGGAAAGAAACATAAATACGTCGCTTTGCTGTTTAAGTAGCGTCTTTTATGAGTCACCGCTGACGCGTCGCGTTCGTTGCACGTCACCGCTGATGACCCGGAAACGCGGGCCGGTGTTCTGCCAAAAATCGATTGGCTGCCAAATGGCGGCTGCGGGAGCGTGTATGGGAGGATTTGAACAAGATCAACACTTAAAAACAACAATTATATGTTTGCTCGACATTATAGCAAATGTGTGTCTCAGTTTAACTTTTCCTTAATAGTGGGTTTTCTCCGGGTACTCCGGTTTCCTCCCACAGAACAAAAACATGCATGTTAGGCTGCCTTCAGGTCCAGGCCTCCCTTGCAAAAGAGATCTGTAATCTCAATGAGATTTGCCTGGTTAAATAATAGTTAATAAATAAATAATAAATAAATAAATGCACTTTAATTGTTAGTTGGCGGTCCACAGTGATGAGGAGCTCGGCAGACTGCTGGGAGGAGTGGCCATCGCTCTGGGAGGAGTTCTGCCCAGCAGTCGGGCGGTCCTACAGCCCGGGGGAACCGAGAGGCCAGCTGAGTCTGGGTGGACGGATCGGACGGCATCTAAGCCAGTTTCTTAAGATCCACTGTGGGATGGACCTTTACAAGAGATCCTTCCTGTCTACAGCCATCAGTATCTGTAACATCTCTTAATGAAATGAGGATAACGAGTTACAACAACAAATAATTTCCCTTTGGGATTAATAAAGTATTTTTGAATTGAATTGAATTAATGGTTAAAAAAAAAGCTTCATTTCAAAAATCGATTTGCGTCTGCTGGAGCGCGGAGGACTCGCTGTGCATTTCTTCAAAATTAAACAAGATAACAACCTAAAAACAATTATTTGTTTGCTCGACATTAAAGTAAAGGTGTGTCTCAGTTGAACTTTTGCTTAATAAATGCACTTTAATGGTCAAATAAGCTGCATTTTGCCTGGGTGGCGCAGCAAAATGAAGTTCCAGGAGTTCCGGAGCGAAACGAAGGTGTCCTGTATGGCAAGCCAAGTGTCTCATTAATAGCCACTTTTACCTATTCATTTATTCATTCAACCTATTAATAAGATTCTTGGCTTGCCATATGAGTCGAGGGCCCTCTAGCGGCTGAAAATGGTAGTGTTCAATATTTTCCATGTCAGAATGAATGAAATCGTAAGATCTCAGCCAAAAATTGGTTATAAATATGGGAAAAAAACATATATTAGTCACTTCGGTATATAAATCGCAGGACTTGTTAATTTATGCAAAAAGATGCAACTTATAGTCCGAAAAGTATAGTAAAAGCCAGCAGCTCAGGGGCCGGACATCCAGCAATTAAAGTCATTATGTAAATAAACTAAATATTACAATGATCTAGGGCTGCAACAACGAATCGATAAAATCGATGATTAAAAGCGTTGGCAACGAATTTCATTATCGATTCGTTGTGTCGCGTGATTATGCATCTTTCACGGCGCTGCGGAGCCGTTTTGTTCATGGGCAGTTCATTGTCAATGCTGACTGACTGAATAAAGTTTTTAAAAAAAAAACTGCAGCGCGAGTTGAACAGAGCGAGGGGAGAGGCGGAAGCAGAGCAGAAGCTGTTTTCAAAGGAAAATAAGTAAATTTTCAAATGACCGACGCAACGAAAACTGTTCGACCCAAGTCGTCCAAAGTGTGGGAGCTCTTCACAAAGATAAAAACTGAGAAACATGCAGCTTTGAAAATTGCCGACACGAGAGAACCACGGAGATAAACGTAAACATGTCGGAGTCACGAGGAGGAGGAAGGAGCTGCAGCTGATACAACATGTTTCACTCTCAACTCGTGTTGCAGGTGAGTCTCTACAATTTAACACATTGTTCTGTTTCAAGAGAGAAAACGTAACGTCAGTCTGTCTGTAGATGAAGCTGCTGCTTGTTTCCTGATTAATGACGGTGATAGAACATGTGTTACTTTTTATTTAATTTGATTGGTACACGCAGTGTTTAAATGGGATTTATAAATAAATCTAACACAAAGATAATATTTTAATTTAATTTTAATTTAATTTAACGATTAAGCTTCAACTTTTAATTTGCTGGCAAAGTCTGAAGACACTGCATGTATGGCAGGATGAATTGCATTTAAGCAGGAATTAAAGTAATTTATTACATCTACTCAATGTGTGTAATTAAGTATTTTATATGTGTGTGTTTAATTGCTCTTAGCTACTTTTGCCTGAACCTAACACTGTAAGTGAAACAAGGCATTTCTTGAGTTGCTATAAATTATGCTATAATACATATTTACTCTCTCATTCCAGAAAACAACAACAAACAACAACACTTCATGATGGACAGACACCATGGACACCACAGCAGCAGCTGTCTTCACTGAAACATCCTTATATGATCGTCACTGACATGAGGCCTCTGTCGATGGTTGAAGACGAAGGCTTTACTACACTGATCCACACTTTTAATCCAGGTTACACTCTTCCCTGAAGGACACATTTTACAAAGTAGCTACATATTGTGCAGGTACTGTTATCAACTTGACTCATCACATTTGTTTGGAGCTATCCATCTTAAAGAGAAGTTCAGGCTGGATGATGGATAAACAAAGTGATTTAATCAACATGTCACTCTTTGTATTAGTTGCATCATTAGCTGCAGGAAAACTGCTCAAACTCTTCTTTTGTAGGTATAAAACCCAATAAAATAAAATTTCATGTTAGTTTTGGTCAAAGCTTCAAAGAGCCGCTGCAGTGGGACCAAAGGGCCGCATGTGGTCCCAGAGCCACAGGTTGCAGACCCCTGAGTTAGAGGTCAGGGTTATACACTCTACATACCTGTATAAGGGTTTGTATACAGCTAAAACAAGTTGGTGATGACTCAACTAGCACCTGGTGTGGTGGTGGGGGTTGATTGTAGCCATTTTTGTGTTTGATGGGGTCAATTAGCTGTGGCAGCCACCTTGAACCAAAAACGTACCCGTTGTAGACGTACATCCAATTAGTTTCTCAGTGTCATGAAAATTTGTCCAGTGGTTCATGAAAACAGAGGCACACCCAGGCCGTTCAGGGCGGCCATTGATGTTTAACAGAATAATCAGATAAACTCTCACTGACCCCGACAAGAAGGAGCACATCGGAGAACCTCTTAGCCAAGTGGTCCACCTCTTTACACATGGCACAAGTCAACCTGAAACAGAACGGATGGATTAAAGAGAGCTTTGTTTATTTAAAACACACGTCTGCTCAGTGAAGACCCAACATCTTCTGTAGCCCTAACATCATCATCCCTAATCCTTGTAATAGTTCATCCGAGACAGATTAGTGCTTTATGTCCTGGCAGTATTAAAGCCTCTGCTGGTACCTGGTGAGGATGTATGCCTGGTCTCTAGCTGGTTTCTCCAGCTCCTGGCCATGGAGGATGAGCTCTGCCACCTTGTGGAGCTGCTCGATGCTGCGAGCCGTCACCTCGGCCAGACAGCCGACAGCCGACATGTAGACAACCTGCAGAGAGGAAGACGGATAACAAAACAGACACATCAGATCTGTTCAGGCTCTGACGGCTGAGAGGGACCGTGGTGGAAGGAACCAAAAAAACTAAAGGTTTAAATGACCTCCACAGATCTGGGGTCGCTCTCTGTTGCCTCCTCCTCCTCCTCCTTTCCTCCATCTTTCTTCTCCTCCTCGTGCAAGTCCTCTCCTCCTGGCTTGTCCTGCGTTTCCTTGACAACTGTCTCCGTAGTGACAGGCTGCTCCACCTTGTTCACCCATTCATGGGCCCTCATGCGAGCCTGCAGGTGCATAATTACCACCCATCAGCTTCTGATGTATGCTGATGAGATGCACGTACATGACTCTGTGCTAATGTGGACTCTATGAATGGGAGTTTTATTATGTGGAGGATCTTCAGAGGTGATAGCTTTCTTTGATATTACCTCCAAACACTGGAGCAGGATGTTATCGAGGCCGTGGCTGAGTTTGCGTGTGTGTGTTTCTGAGTTTTGCGTTCACGTGTGTGTCACCTTGCTGAGTTTGTCTGGCGTTGCAGCGACGTGAAGCTCAAACAGCAGCTCGGTAAGAACGCTGACAAACTCTTCGCCGTCAGCAGCTGATAAAAACAAACAAAAACAAACAAAAACAAACATGTTCCACATGTTTACACAACACGAGCTGAACTCAGGACTCATGCAGCTCCTGCCACATCACCGCCCTCATGCTGACGTTAAAATTATCTGTGATTGCAGCTGGGACCTGATTTGTTTTCTTGCATGCCCATTTAATTTCAACTCTTCGTTTTAAAATTACATTTAGAGCCAAACATGCATGGCACACGTGCACATTCAGTATCTGGATCATTTCTGCTGAGTTTGTCATTGGCCCCGAACGCTGACGCTGGATCAGGACTGGTTTACCCCCTCGCTAAAGGCGGCTGTACATTTTTAACTAACAAGGAAAACGAGGAGACACAGAGCTGTGAAGCTGAAAGCAGCAACATGAAGTCACTGACGGCATCATGTGGGAGTTAAAATAAGATAAGCAGACAATTAAAATTAATTGGTTGTGAAATAGTTGATGTGGGATAGGGATCTGAGACCCTCACATAAAACTGTGAAGCTCAACAACCAACAGACGGCACAAATTAATTTAATTTTTGTTACGTTTTATAGACTTTGACCCACTTAATGTCAGTGCAGTGCATTTATAGACGGGTTCTGTAGAGAGGTAATGGATAATTAATATTTTACCTGTTGTAGATAGCTCTTTAAACCTCAGAATGCAGTTTAACGCTAACCAGATTGATGAGCTAATCCTTAATCTGAAAAATATCATAAAAGGTTTACACAGCTACTGTTTTATACCCTTTTACTTTGCTGTCAGTTTTGCACCATAAGATTATTTACAAATAAATCGATTGTTTGCAAGTCCAAATAGTTGCAGCTAGCTGTATCACTTCCAGCATTCTTGAGAGAATAATGTGTGTAATGTAAAACTTATGGCAGTGATAAGGTCTTCAAAATGTGTTAAAGTAGGTGTTTGTATGAAATACTATGTAACTTTTCAGATTACACTTGTTTTAAGATGACAAGAACCCACTTTGGGTCTTGTCCTGCTCCGATTAGCTATCTGACCCAGGTAAGATGATTATTATGCATCACCTTTGCACAAACAGCAGCATGGCAGGTTTGGTATGGTCTAATTTCCTTAGCTCGGGTGAAGAAACAACCGTTATATAAAAAAATGTTTATTTTCCTGTGTGAGCTATAATCTATCATTTATTGTGTGAACGTTTCTGAATCATTCTCACTCTTCAGATCCATTCTTCAGCAAGTTCTGTTCTATTTCAACAATTCATGCATCAAAACGTTTGGCTACTTGAGGACATTCCTACAAATATTTTTGGTACTTGTGAAATCTTTACTTTTTTAATATTTAGCTTTTTCCGTCACGTTTTTCAACGTTTTACTGCTCGTATCCACTTTTTTTCTGCTAGTTTTTAGGTATTTTCTGCTCATTTATTTGTGCTCATTTTGGCCATTTGTGCTTCTTTCTAATAATTAAATTTTTTTAGGCTCTTTTCAGCCTCTTTCTGCTAATTTCTGCTACTTTTTAGCTAATTTTAGCCTTTTCCTGATCATTTAAGTTTTTTTTTTGTTGTTGCTAATTTCAGATTTTTTGTGATCTATATTCAGCCTCTCTCTGCCAGCTTCAGCTTTTTCTACACACTTCTGCTGTTTTTCTTCTGCCTTTATTGTTCTGCTTTCAGCAAATGTCAGCTGTTCAAAATAAACTTGCATTAACAATTTGGTGATGAAACCTTTTCGGCTGGTTTCAACTTCTTCAGCAACTTTCAGCAAAAATCATTCAGCAACGAGCATTCACGTTGCACTTTTGCAGGAAACCTTCTTCTAACACTCTGAAGTATTCTACCGAAGTGGAAGAAAACCTGAGATTTAGGCGTCTCTCCTCTCACTGTGTCAAAGACCAGCTGATCCCGGGTCAGCGTTCAGGGCCTGCATCTGGTCCGGGTCACTCACATAAAGGAGTAGAACAGTGTATTTGGGAACTTAGATCACCATTATCCTTCGTCTGTCCTCCATTTTCCCCTTCTTCATCTTCTTCTTCTTGCTGCTTGATGAAAATATCTTTGATGAAGATGAGCTCCTTCTTCACCTCCTCCTGCTCCTCTTCCACCAGGGAGGAGAGGAAGGCTTGGACCTAGGAACACGTAGATTTATGTGCACTGCGCATAATCAGGCTGGTTCTGATCTGAGCCTGGTGTTTGTGTTTTACCTTCGCTTCGCTCTCATTGGACAGGATCTCCAGGGCCTCCAGGTGCGACAAGCCCTGGTAGTCGTCAAAGAGAATCCCATAGTGAGCAGTGGGTGCACCGATCAGCTGGCTGCTCAGACGTGCACGCTCCTTCTCCTTTGCTTCCCTCAACATCTGGAAAGAATCAGCTAAACGTCAGGTTTTCACTCAGAATCACCAGCTTTGATGTAAAAACAGTGCTGGGTGGACTCAGAGCGAGACCTGTTCTTGGATTTTTGTTTGTGCGTGTGCGTCCACATGCCTGACTCAGAGAGGCCGTCTTCTGCATCAGAGTCTTCGTCTTTTTAAAACCCGGGTCACTTTCAGCCAGAACCGTCATGGTCTTCTTTCCAATGAACTCCAAGGCATCAAGACCTCCACTGAGGACCGACTTCCCCTTAGAGACAATAAACAAAAGGAGGGCCAAAGAAAAGCACATTTAGGTCCCATCAAAAGGAAGGTGAAAAATAACATTTTAAATAACTTCAGATTGTGAGAGATGAAGCTACAAAATATAACGAGAATGCAACCAACAGACAAATGTAATTCAAAATACAGAAAAATAAGAAAATTAGGTCAAAAGATTTATCTAATGAAGTGAACTTATTTTATAAACTCTGGTCAAACATATTTTGATGACAAGTAACCATAAAATAAACTAAATTAATCAGATCAATACACAGCCTGGCCAAAAAAAAAAAACAAAGTCACCACCTGGATTTAACTAAGCAAATAGGTACGAGCCTCCTGTTGGATCATTACTGCATGGGCGATTATCTTTCAGCTGGCAACAAGTTATTTAACCCCAAATGGTGCAATGTTCCTCCAAATCCATGGTCTGGAGCTGGAAACGGGTAGAGTGCCCACTCCAGGTCGGGGAGGAGGTCCTGCCCCAAGTGGAGGAGTTCAAGTATCTTGGGGTCTTGTTCACGAATGAGGGAAAATGGAGCGAGAGATCGATAGGTGGATAGGTGCAGCGTCTGCAGTGAAGCAGGCGCTGTACAGGTCTGTCGTGGTGAAGAGAGAGCTGAGTCAAAAGGCGAAGATCTCAATTTACCAGTCGATCTGTGTTCTTGCCCTCATCCATAGTCATGAGCTTTGGGTTGTGACCGAAAGAACGAGATCTCGGATACAAGTGGCCGAAATGAGTTTTCTCCGCAGGATGTCTGGGCTCTCCCTTAGAGACAGGGTGAGAAGCTCGATCATCCGGGAGGGACTCAGGTTCAACTGACCTCAAAGTTGAAACATCTGCTGAGACTTTAACTTTTATCAAAAATGAGTATTACTCCCAGGATGGGTTCCCATGAAGATAACACATTTTAAAGAACCCTTTGTTTAATGACATTTTCTTTTCAGGAGATGAACAGCGACACCTTTTGATGAACATTGCATCCATCCATTATCTTTACCCGCTTATTCCATTTTGGGTCACGTGGGTCGCTGGTGCCCATGTCCAGCAATCACTGTGCGAGGGGCGGGGTACACCCTGGACGGGTCGCAAAGAAGAGTAACTTTTTAAAGGCAGACAGAGAAAATGGACTTTAGATGTTATAAAACATGACAAAGAGTTAGGACCATCCCTCTTCCGAGAGGTGGACCAAAGTCAATCTGTAACACACAGACAGTTGAGTTAAGTCATCTTCAACTTCTTTGTCTTCAACTTCAAGCACATCTACTTCTCAACTTCTGCTAAACGCTTCTGGAGCTCAGAACTGAAGAAAACCCAGTTTCTGCATGGAAGAGAAGCATCTTTTCTGCACAGAGATGGGACCAAAAGATACAGAAGAAACCCTGCAGAACCAGAACCAGAACCTGGCATTAACCTGAGATTTGTTACCAGAACCATCACACCGCAGAGGAGCGGAAAAATCCCAGCTGACTCCCATATGGACCCTCATCCCTCTAAGATGACAGGTGAACTTTGAGGAAAAATCAGCCTCTCAGTCACCAGAACATCTGGGCTGGTACCATTTTTAAGCAACTGTTGGACCATTCCTGACCATCTCATTCTGGTAGGAAAGAGACTTTCAATGAACTTTCTGGTGATCATACATCACAATAATCTTGCTTTACACACTACAGCTCATTTAGACACAATTTTAACTACTCCACAAACAGAACCAGTCCAAAAATCTGCCTTTTTAAGTTTCACTGATTTGAATAACCAACTAGACCTTTGATGCAAAGCTATGTGTTATTCATTTGTTTGTTATGCATAATCTTCATCAGATATATCACAGATTGTTATTTTTGTAATAAAATACAAAAAATACATAAAATCAACGAGTGCAAAAAAATGTGGAATTACCTGAAAAAGCTAAAATTAGCATAAACAGCTAAATAGTAGCTGAAATAGCAGAAAAGCTGAAACTTGCAGAAATAAGCTGAAATTAGCAGAAGGAAATTAGAAGAAACACAAAAATGTTGTAGTTAGCAGAAAGGCTTTGAAAGGAGCACAAAACAGCTGAAAAAAAGCTGAAATTAGATGAAAGTAGCTGAATTGTTTTTTTAATTTTCACAAGGAAGCTGAAAGAAGCTGAAGCAGAACAAAATGTGAAAGGAGCAGTAAAAGGTTGTAAACAGATCTAAAGATGTGAAGGAGGTAAAATGAGCTCCATTCATTTTCTATTGAGGAAAAAGTGGCAAATATTTCAAAAAACTAAAGTTGCACCAAAACCAAAAGTCATAGCAGGATTGTCCTGAAAGAGCTGAATGTTTTCATTGATGATTTGTTGTAACAGATTGAAAACTGCAGGACGAGAATCACGCTGAAAAACGTACGGAAGACAAATGGATCACAACAGCTGCTTCATAAAACACTCACACTATTACTGGAAAACTGGTCTAAAGGTAAATGTAAACTCCGGCCAAGCGAATAAACGTGTGAGCGTCTGCCGAGGCGTGTACAAATTGAGCAGGACCAAGAGTGCAGCTCAGCAGGCCGTGGACGCAACAAATAAGCTGCGACTTTTAAAAACGGCCCTTAAAAAACGTGGCCTCAGGGCCGGCTGGTTAGTTTGTAGCAAACACTCAGAGTCCAGCGAGCGAGACACAGGAAAATAACGGGTTTTATTCTTAGTCGTCAACTGGTCACCAACACTCAGAACTCATCGAGGTGACTGAAGAAACACCCGTTATTAACTCACGGCTGATGATTTACAGTATACTGTATATGTGAGGGGTCATGGTGTGTGTGTGTGTGTGTGTGTGTGTGTGTGTGTATGTGTGTGTTCACTCACAGTGTTCTGCACAGCGTGTGTGATTGAAGAGAAAACACCTCTGATTGGCTCTGCAGCAGCTCTTGATGATGAAGACTCCACTGAGCTGGATGGAGCAGCTTCTTCCTCACCTCCTCCTCCCTCTACATTCTCCTCTGCTCCCTCCTCCTCCTTCCCCTTCTCCTCCTCCTCTTGCGCCTCCTCGCCTACGGAGGTCCTGTGAAGACGAAGAGCTTCCCCTGCCTTCACCTTAACGGAGGTCAGGCTCTGCCCTGCGCACAGAAAAATGGACAGTTACAGGATTTTGTGTGTGCAGGATTATTTATACGTCCATAAGACGTGGAGTCCGACCCGGTACTAAAACTGATCCAGACAACGAGGGGTAAGAAGTTCAAACAGGAGACCTACCAACAGTGGAGGTGGCACTGCTCAGGAGAGATTTCCCCCACGAGCTCCAGCCTCCCCAGCTCTTTTCTGTCTGCTGGAGAATCAAGAACATCACCTTCATCACGGTATCCGTTTTAAAACACACACATGCAGGATTGCTGCCAAAACATCTGCTTAGTCAATAAAAAGGTTAAAAAAAGAAGGACAGTAAGACTCTTTTTAAAAACCCATCTGCCTCAGTATACATGTATGATCTTTTTGAAGCATGAACTCTGACACGGAACATAAATTAATGTAACAAAATAAAGGCAGACAGTCAGGTTTCAGGTCTAGAGCATACAGGTGCATGTTGACACAACACCAGGGCGGAAAGTGATCAGCAATGGCCTTAGCAAAGCAGCTGTCGTTGCTCGTTAGAAAGCTTAACGGTCAAAGTCGAAACATCTGGAGTCCATCGTTCTACAGAGAATTATTCTCAGGTGGAAAACGTTTAAACCCGCTTCCAATCACAGGAGGAGGACCTCACTGCAAATTCACCCCTAAGGTCAGACTGTGCAACGCTCAGAAGGACAGCAAACCCAAGAGCTCCACAAGCGTCTGTTTGCAGGTTGTAGGTTAAAGTTCATCACAGGACATTTAGAAAAATACTAAATAAGTTAGAAAGAGTTTCCAGGAGAAAGTCTCTGAAGAAAATGAAGGTTTGTAAAGTTAAATGAACCACAAGACTTCTGGATCAATGTCCTGTGGACAGACGAGACCAAAGGAGACATGTTTACCCATAATGCACTGCTCTAAACTTGGTGAAAACCAAACGCAGCATGTCAGCACAAAGACAACATCTCAACTGTCAGCACGGAGGTGGAGGGGTGATAATCTGGGCTGGTTTTAAAGCCACAGGACCTGAGCACCTGCGATTCTCGAGTCCACCATGAACTCCTCGGTGGACTGGGACCAACTGAAGTTTGGATCAAACCAGATCAGGATGAAACAGAACGATGATCCCAGACACAGCAGCGAACCAGAGCGGCCGAATCAGAAAAGCATGGAGGTGAAGCAACAATCCAGTGAGTCCAGAAGCTCAGCTCGACTAAAAGGCTGAGGTGGGACCTTCAGAGAGCTGATAGGAAACTAACATCTGCAAACATCAATGAAGTGAAGGACGTCGTAAAGAAGAGTGGGACAACATTCCTACACAATCATGAGAGAGCCAGATAAAGTTGTTGCTGCTAAAGATGGGTCTGAATCAAGGAGAGGACCTGGTTTATCACACATCTTTGGACATTCTGGTTTTGTGTAATAAATCATGATGAGGTGGGATTTGTTCTGTTTTTACACATTGAAGGTTAGAACTGAATTATTTCAGAACCTGGTAAAGACCAGATAAGAAAGTTAAGACACAAACCTTCTCCTCCTCTTCTGAACCATCTGCCTCTGGCTCCAGACTCATCGTTTGGTCACATTCAGTCCCTGGACCCTCAGGACCCTGGAGCTCCCCTCGACCTTCTGAAGTCTCAGTTTGGGCGCTGGTGTCCTCCACCGCAGCCTGCTTCGTGGAGTGTGGAAGGTCAACAGCCTCAAGAATGAGAGACTGCAGAGGAGCGGATGGAGGTTCGAGTGACGTTGGGACACCCTGACAGGGAACAGGATCAGTGTGGGGAGGGTGTCCAGATGGAGGCCCGCAGTCCGTACAGGGGTCTGCATCAGAGGTGGCAGCCTGGGACATGATGATCTAAGAAGACGTATTATTAATCTGTATTGTCTCTTTAAATGTGTTTAATTTGCAATCAGAAATTTAAATATTTAAAGAGGAAAAACAACTGAGAGACAGAGAACTCTTACTCAACTCTTCTTGTAAACACAAAACCAATGACTGAACTGCAAAACACGAGGTCAAAGGCTGAGTCAATCAATAATTCAATAGAAAAAGTTATATTTAAATACTTTTACCATAATATTCAAGTAAAGGTTGATTACGTAACATTTTCTAGTAACATTTTACGGTTTGCAGCTTTTAAACTCACTGTGAGCATTAGTAAATAGATCTAAAGGTGACCAAAAAGGATAATTTAAAAACAATCTTGTTTGAAATACAATCTATTTGGGAAAATTAGACAGCAATTAAAAACACATGGCGCCACCAAGAAAGTGTTTATGAAACCACACTTTTAAAAAAATTACACAGATTTTATTGCTAAATATCTGACATTTGAACTAAAATAAATAAATGCAGAATGGAAAATGTGAGTTTTGTGCTTAAAAAAAAAAAAACTAATTTATGAACAACATCGCCATCTTGTGGCAAATCTTTGCAGGTACACCTGTTCCCTTCATTATTGTCGCTTAATGTTTTAAAGTTATTTTTCTGGCAACCAAAAAGTTATTTATCATATTGTTGTCTCTGATAAAATGCATGCACAAGATAAATATACTGCTTTGCATTATCAAGGTGCAATTTTCTTATTTGAAACCTATTTTTAAAAAGTTGCAAAGCAATAAAATGAATAAATATTTTGTAAAAGTGACCTGGCGCCTAAACCTGAAATTAATAATTTCATACAACAATTATCAACAAAAGTCAGTAGCAATAAAATAAGTATTTCATTTAACGGGGTTTAAACCTTTAAAATAGCAGTATAACTTAGAAGAAAACTATTTTTAAGCCAATATCAAAGACAGCTTATGTTTTATCCTTTAAGTAACACGCAGACACGTTTAGCAGTTTTATTAGAAACGTCGTAAATAGTTGGTTAAGTAGAAAGTTCGGTCCGTGTAGTTTTAACAGAGGAAAGTTGTAATTTGTATCTTTGTATTTAGAAACAACGCAGCTCACCCGTTCGGTGCCAGCCAGCGGCTCCTCTTCCGCCCCGCCACGTCGGCAGGCCGCGAGCCAGTGACAGCGCCAGAGATCAAAACTACTCAAGATAGTTCACGGCTACTCCTGCTGACTCGGCTTCGTCTGCTCTGATGCAAAAAGACTATAACGACGACGTTTAATGTGCTCTGGAATAGACACGAAGTTTCACAGAATTTAAAGACAATTACACATACAACATGGTATTTGTTTAAAGTTTGTTTCATATTTTCCCCCCGGAACTTATATTTATCAAAGTTTAAGAAGTAGAAGTACGAAGTCACGAGACGCTAAATTAGAAGTAGTTAGGAGTGAAGCATCTTGCTTACTCCGATGTTTAAAGAGGAAAGGGCCTGTTAGACATTTTATTCGTCATTTAGTTTATAAAAAAAAAGTGGTGAACAATTTCAAGTTATAAAATGATCAAAAACACAAATCAGTTCGACTTATATATATATATATTTATATATATATTTTATAAAGTAAAATTGGAAACGGAAAAGCACAGTGGCTCGTTGGTCTAGGGGTATGATTCTCGCTTAGGGTGCGAGAGGTCCCGGGTTCAAATCCCGGACGAGCCCTATTTTTATGTTTTTAACTTAAACTCAACATATTTTAATTTTACTTTGATTTTTATAATACTTAGAGGAAAACTAGATGACACAAAACAGCAATCTTTATATTCGCTTAATTTGTCTCTAATAATTGGTTACGTATCACAGAGCTTTAAGATTGCTAATTGAACCCTTACTTAAGAAACATAACCTCACTAACCATAACTCAGGAATCCTAGCCATTTATAGACCTGTATTAACTTTCATCTAAAACATTCTAGAGAAAATATAGTTGCTAGTCAGTTACATGAACATCTGCAAAGAAATGTACTTTGTTAGTTTCAGTCAGGGTTTAGAGCTCACCACAGCACAGGTGAAAGTTACTAATGATATTCTCATGGCCTCTGACAATGGACAGGTGTCTACACTGGTCCTGTTAGACCTCAGTGCTGCATTTGATACAGCTGATCATAATATTCTTCTACATACACTTGAATATGATATTGGAATTACAGGAACAGCTCTAAATTGGTTTCAATCTTATTTATCTAATAGATTCCAGTTTGTAAATGTAAATAATGAATCTTCATCATACACCAAAGATAGTCATGGAGTTCCTCAGGGTTCAGTGCTTGGACTATTACTCTTTACCTTATATATGTTTCCATTAGGTGATGTTATTAAATAGCATGGGATAAAGTTTCATTGCTATGCACACAATTATATTTGTCCATGAAACCCAATGAATCAATCAGTTACTTAAACTACAAGCATGTCTTAAAGACATAAAAATCTGGTTGACCCTACATTTTCTGCTTTTGAACTCAGACAAGACGGAGGTTTTGGTTTTTGGACCTGAGCATTGTTGGAATACATTTTTCAGTCTTCCTGCCCTAGATGGCATTAATCTGTCCTCCAGCTCTAATGTTAAAAATCTTGGTGTTATTTTTGATCAGGACATGTCTTTTATCCCCCACATTAAAACGTTACTAGAACTGCCTTCTTCCACCTGCGTAATATCACTAAAATTAGAAACATCTTATCTAAAAATGATGCAGAAAAACTGGTCCATGCATTTGTCACATCTGGACTGGACTATTGCAATGGTTTATTATCTGGGTGTACAAATACTTCTTTAAAACGTCTTCAGTTGATCCAAAATGGCCAGAGTCTTAACTGGAGTTAGTGGGAGAGATCATATCTTTCCAGTTTTAATTTCTCTCCATTGGCTCCCTGTCAAATCCAGAATAGAATTCAAAATCTTACTTCTAACCTACAAAGCTCTCAACAACCTAGCTCCATCTTATATTACAGATCTTATTGTTCCATACTTTCCTAACAGACCACTTCACTCTCAGACTGCAGGTTTACTTGTGGTTCCTAGAGTTTCCAAAAGCAGAATGGGATGCAGATCTTTCAGTTATCAGGCTCCTCTCTTGTGGAACCAACTTCCAGTTTCTGTCTGTGAGACTGACACATTGTCCAGTTTGAAGACTGGGATTAAGACTTTCCTTTTCGATAAATCGTATAGTTAGGGTTGGCTTGTTATGCTGCTATAGGCTTAGACTATTGGAGGACAAATTGACCTCACTTCCTTAAAGGATTTGCTAACATTTAATAGTTTTCATTTGATATTATTTCTATCTTAACATGTGATTCTCAACCTGCCATTGAGTATCTGTTCCTCTCAAACCCAGCCGGTTGAAGCAGATGGACGCTTGTCCTGAGCCTGGTTCTGCTAAAGGTTTCTTCTTCATGAGGGAGTTTTTCCTTTCCACTGTCGCCTTCATGTTTGCTTGAGAGTTCTGTGATGGAGTTAAACTCAAATCAGTCTGCTCCTCAGATAAATAATGTTAACTTATTATTTTTATATATGAATGTTTCTGTTCAGTGCCCTGAGACGACTTCTGTTGTGACTTGGCGCTATACAAATAAACTAAATTATATTATAAAGTTAAAAGGTACAACCCCTGCACTTGTAATAATTTCCTATGAAAGCTTTGTTGTGTGGTGTTTGCTTGTCTTTAAACAAATTAAAAACCTTCAGGGTACCTCTGTAGCTATAGAGCTTCAGTATTCAAATCAAATACAAATTAAGTCTCTAATAAAACAAGCAGACAACAGTACATTTTGCAAATGTTACCAACAGGTTTATTGAGCGATATGAATATTCTTTTTTTAAAGTGTAAAATTGCAAATAAACCTTTACAGTTGTATGTTCACAGTTTAACATGTTCCCTTTGAATTGCCACCACTTATATTAAAGAGAGATACGGTTTAATAAAGATACAATAATAGAAATGTATATAGAGTATCAAAATCATGCTTAATAAAAAAAACCTTTAATTGCCCATTCAGCTGAAAAAATAATCACTTATATAACAATTTGCATATGCATAGATATAAAAACATATACAAGCAAAAGTCGCAGATGAGCTCAGCTGCTACATTCGGTATAGATGTTTGTGTACACGTGAATATATGAGGCATTGGAAAATGAAAAACCATGACACCAAAGTTCACTCCAAGTTTCTGATCAATCAAACCAGGAAAAAGTAAGTGACATCAAATATTTCTGGCTTTGGGAAGTATGTACATTATATTGTTTTATGTACATTTTATTATATATAAAGTGCACACTGGAGATGTACAAAGATGCTATTTAAAATATTTTGTTCTCCAAAATGTGTTAAAAAAAAAAAGTTGTGCTCTAAAATCACGATGGCATCAAGCAGCAGTACAACTGCTGTTGTGTGATTTTATGATTACAATCACAGCGGATACATGCAATTCAGTTTCTAAGCACATCTCCTGCAAATACGACAATTGTTCCTGAAATGCAACAAGCTGAAGAGCAACATTCCCTGCTTTGCACTTTGCTTTTTTTTTATATGTAAAAGTGCCACACAATACCAAGAAAAAAAGTCTACCGTGGTGTCGGGTCAAAATAATCCAGATATATAAAATGTGTTAATAATACACAAAACATAATTCTTCTACCCTTAAACCAAGCGAGTGGTGTCTTATGACTCATACGATAATGCCCCTGTGAAGCTACTTTCACATTTCTGAATGAAAACTTTTTATAAACACTTCACTCTAAAAATGAATGAGATCCACAGTCTCACTTTTTTTGGTTGTATTTTTACATGCAAAAGCACAAACAAGTCCAAGGCTATGAGCTGCTTTTATTAAGTGCACTTTTCTGCTGCGCGTGAAAGAGGAAGCAAGCATGAGCTACCTGTCATCACTTCATCGTGTGAGCTTGAAGAGGCAGATGTGGTGTGTGGTGCTGGAACGTGACGGCCCATGAAAACAGAGGAATTAGCTTTATGTCACAGGTAGCTGCGCCAAAGAAGGAAACAAAAGGCTGAAGCATGTTTGACACGATGCACAGTGGGTGTGATATGATACATTCTGCAAAGTTTCACATTTTACTGGCCTAGCGAGCAAAATAACGTGTGAATGAAGCGACGTGAGGGGCCGATGTTGCACGAAGAGCCTGAGCCATGCCTTGACTGGTGTTTGACTCTGCTGCCAAAGGAGAGCGCTGCTCCCAATCCAGCTGAGACGCAGCCGCCCTTAAAAAGAAAGGACAGGTGTTCGAACCTTCCGTGGCCGACCAGAGGTTAATTACTTCAACCCCCGATTTTTAAAGTTTAAAATGAGCTGAGCAGCAAGCTCTTACTCTTTGCTCCAATGAGGTGAAAGGGTCAAAACGTGCACCCTGAGGACAAGTTCCCCGCTCCCTGTTAGAGTCCACCGCGCATGAACGGCTATTTTAACCCCATTAAAGTCAAAGTGGTCCAGTCCCAACAATAACCCGCCCTCTACATAAATTCAAGCTGTCCGGTGGAGGGTTCACACCAGGAGGTGGCGTTTCTTGTGCAAAGCCAAGTGGTCGGAGCGAGAGAAGCTGCGTTCGCAGTCGGGACACTGGAACGGTTTGACTCCTGTGTGCTTGCGGAAGTGTCTCGTGAGCTCGTCTGAGCGGGCGAACTTCCACGTGCAACCTTCCCACATGCACTTGTAGGGCTTCTCACCTGCACAGAGAAGCAACAAGGTGAGGCTTGTTAAGGATGAAGTCAGTGGAGACAGAGTGCAGCTCGTCTGTGAAGTGAGGCCTCTCACCTGTGTGCGTCCTGCGATGTGCTTTGAGGTGGGAGCTTTTGGTGTACACTTTGTTGCAGTCTGAGAAGTCGCAGCGGTGAATTCTTCGCTTTTTCAGGGTGTCAGGAGATTCGGCAGGAAGGGGATGCTTCGTGCCCGTACGAACAATTACTGATGGGTTGTTGCACCTAAATGAGACGTTAAAACAAAATTAAATTAAAAAAAAAGTACTCACTGCAATGTTGAAGACAGTAAGTAAGAGCCAAATTCTGCACATTATTTCTCTCAGATCCGTGGTTAATTTGTTAAATCAAAAAATCTGAAAGTAAAATAATAATAAAAAAAAAACTTTATCTGACTCGCTTTGCCTAATGTGACCAGCAGAGGGCGACAGAGTTCACTTTCATTATGTTAAAACTTCAGTTTCATTTGGCAGAGGCTCCTCTCCAGTGCAATTCAGCAAGTCATTCACTGAAATCTGACCCAAGTGTGCACGTACGACTAAAAACAAGCTCTAAAACCTGAGAAGTAGTAAACATTTCTGCAACACACTCCTAAGCCCTGGCCTGGGTGTACTTCTAGGTCTCCAAAAAAATCTAGTGCACCAAGTTGTTAAAAATAAAATGTTAAAGTTGAATTTCAGGCCAAAAACATCAGGGTTGTGCCATATCCTGGAGGAAGGACGTGCTTTTGTTGAGTGGCAGTTGAAAACAGGTGTCAAGTGTTGAAATATGAATCAATCCTAGATCAAGGAATGTGCAAAATTCCCCTTCCACCTTCACACCCACATGAATGCTGGCAAACACATCATTATTACGCAAACCCACCAGCACTTTGTGTCTTATTTCTCGTTGGCTTGTAATAAACGGTATCAGCGCTCATGTGCGTGGTGAAAGAAGAGGCGCTGACAGATAAAGTCAGCCCTTTGTTGTGTTTTTAACTTTACACAGTGAATGCATTCATGTACTGTTCTGTTGCTGTTATTACTACTTGTCACTAGAGGGCGCTGCTGCGAGAGCTTAGTGCAGAAGAGACTGTGGGAAGAAGAAATACTGATTAAAGGAGAACGAATGAGAAGCCGTCTTATTCTCTAATGGTGTCTGGGGTGATATCACATTTACTGTATTAAAGTTTGTGAGTTTAACTGTTTAACTTCCTATTTTATTACAACTGCCACAACAAAGCTGGTTACGAGCATGTGTGCACAGAGTCCACTGTCTTTTCTGCATTCGCTTGATGAACCTCCTATATCATTTACAACTTTGAGACAAACTAATCAATATTCACACACTTGTCAAAAGCTTTCAGGGAGATGCACGGCCAGATGAAAGACAAAATGCTGTTTTATAACACTGCTTGGGTTTAGAAGGACAGTGTATGTTCTGCTCACTTCCAGAACAAGGTACACCATTTGATGAGGCTTTGGTTGCACTTGAAAGGTTTTTTGTGACCAAAGGTAATGTAAAACTAAAAGGGAGTTTATTTTATTGAAATAAAAACCAAATGTCCATATGTTTTATTGTTTATTTATCTGTTAATTGTTAGGCTTCTTGATCTGGGACCTGAGTCTGAATTTCGTACCATACATGCAAATGTGAGCTGGTATGACAATGAGAAAAATCCTTGAATCCTTGAAAAGCATGCAGACAAACATTCAGACTATGCATGTGTTGCCAAGCTCAGAGCTTTAGCTTCACCGTGTGGTTTTGGAGTGATGGAAAATGAACTAATAAAAGATCAGTTTCTTGATAATGCTTATGTAAATGTTATAAAGAATAAAGTACTGCTGAAGAATGACCTCACACTGGATAAAACTCTAGTCATCACATGTTAAGTGGAAACAACAGCTAAAGATGATATACATTATTACTCTCAGCTATGAGAATAGTTCCACCTGCACCTGTACAGGCTGCAAATATTTACAGTCATGAGAGAAGAGGGGTGGAAATAGCTCAAATGTGTGCACCTCCACCCTAATGTTCATTGTAAACAGGCAAGTCTTAAAGACCAACATCACTGCTTCAGATTTGATCAAATCAAATGACAATTTTACATTGACGCACCACATGGAAACTTCCAGGTCTTAAGAGTTAATTGTTGACGGGCAGCTTCTCTGTTCTTTCTGGAAACTATCTGCAAACAACATTTTGCACAATTTCCACTAACAAAACCCAAATTTGAATGAGTTAACTTGTCAACCTTGCCCCATCACAGCTGATAATGAAGCACAGTTTACATCTTCTGCTTTTACCGACTTCATGAATGAACGTGACATTAGGCACATTAGAACAAGTGTACACCATCCTCAGGCAAAAGCATGTGTGGATGGTGTTAAAAGAGTGCTAGCAGACTCCTTTCAGACAGAACAAGCTACCACAACCCTGGACGCTTGCAGGTACTGAAACGCTTCACAGCTACCACACTTCACCACAAGTTGAATTGCCTTTCCAGCTCCTCAGAGGAAAACCAATGAGAGCAAAACTGACCACATTTGAGAAAAGGGATTCTACAACAAGCCCAAAATTAACTATTAACAAAAAAGAAGAGAGGAGCCAAACTAACAAAGGTCGTTGGAGCTATGGTTAAAGTGTGCAAGGCTTTTCTTGTGGGAAAAGGAGAGACAGAGGACAGTGATTCATCAGTCCAGCAGCAGACTGGACTAAGTTCATTTATCTTTAGGGATAGGAAAAGATGGAATGCAGCCCGACTGTTGCTTTGTTCAAATGAAACACAAAGAACCGATACAGCAGAGGAGCCCCTCAACCCGAATAGGACACGAAACCAAACTGTTCTGCAAAGTGAAAGACATGCAACATGGACATATTAGTTCATAAAATGAGTATGTTTAGAAATGTGTTGTGAAAAATGTGAAAGAATGTGAACTAAAGTCTTGTTAAGCTAGATTCAGTTGTAATTTTGATAGTGTTTTGTGTTTTATGAAGATTATTTGCAATTAACAGCACTTCTACCAACTGAATAGTTAAAGATAAATTGCAGACATTTTGCTTTGCATTACAGCAATTCTACTCATCCATCCTTTAGAGGAAATGCTACTTTTGCTTAAAGTGATTGAGGTTGTATTTGTGGGTAATGGGAGATCTGTTCATAGGTTTACACAATAATGTATTTTTGTCTTGTTCTGCTGCTGTTATCGCTTCTTGTCACTTGGGGGCGCTGCTGTGACAGTGCGGGCCAGAGGAGACAGCATTAACAAAAATACCCGTAACACACGAGCTACAGGATGACTGCACTTTGTAATGGCGTCAGGCAAAATGGTACATGAAGTTAGTGAGTGAATCGTCGGCTCCTATTTCATTACAACCGCTCCAACAACCTTCTTGTTTTTTCTAAAGGGTCCATTAATTTTACGGTTGGCGCATTAACAAAAGCTGCCTGTAAAGACAGCTGGCGTGACAAACATCAGAAACGGATGGCTTGCACTCAACTTACACACAAACAACAAACAGGTGAGAATTAACTGCAGGTGTGCCTCTTTCACTGTTGCTCAGGGGACAAACCCTGCAATTATTTTTATGAGGAAAAGCCTTCATTCTCCAAAATGATGAAGCACTTCTGCGCGAAACGGATATGTAACGTAGAAGATCAAGAGCAGGGAGAAGCGCCCAGAGGAGCCGAAAAGGAGGAGGAGGAGAGACCAACGAACAAGTTGTTAAAAAGAACAAGAAGTACTGGGAGCGAGGAAGAGGGAGGAGAGAGAACAAACTGATGTAAAGAATTAAGATGACCAACATAAGCTTACATTAGAGAGCCTAGTAAAGAAAAGGTAGAGTGGTGTGGCTGAAAGAAAATTAGAGACTAAAAGATGGCTGACAGATTAATGTCAGTGAAACATTTGTTGTGTTTCATGTCACATGTTGTGTAACACTGGGTGTTCTTAACTTCACACCTCAACACATCAGGTGGCGTTCTGAAAAAAAAAAATGTCCAAGACAAAAATGGACAAGCTCAAGTTGTCTTTTACTGAAACTGTAGAAGATTGTTGCGTTCTCTGGAGTCCCACTTGATCATAAAGTACAGCTCTGGGGTCAAAGATGGAGATTCATATCTAGACTCAGGCTTCTGGAAACATCTGGATCATTTTGTAAATTTCTTTGAAATGAGTTTGCATCACAGTCTACAAATACAAGCCTGCACTGACTATATGATCAAATATTTTGGGCCAATTTTCACACTTTAATGACATTTATTAATGTCTATACACCAAAATGTGGTTGGAATGAAGGTTAAAGAAAAAGAGACACTTGTCTCACAAAAACATGTTTTTCACAGCTGTTGCAGTGTGACGCACGAACAAGATGATCCAAGTTCTCTGGCAACAGCAAGAGCAAAATAATCTTGGTTTTGATTTATTTATTTGTACATTTATTTCCCCCTAAAAAGTCGTAAATCATTCATTGTTGAATAAATCTGTAGAACTGAATCAAAACTGGCCTTGGTCCTGCTCCCGGGGCTGCACCTGCCTTTAAATAGATCAGGATGGAGACTGGAGTCACTTCCATATAAAGTTAAAGGAGAAGCAGCGCAGAGCACGTTGTGCAGAGTTCGGCCAGTTTCGTGCGTGTCGGTGTGTTTCACTCACTCGTACTCGGCTGGTATCCTGATGACTGATGGTTTGATATCAAGGCTGCTCAGACGGTCCTGACAGAGCTCAGGCTGAGTCTCGGTCTTGATCGGTTTGTGCAGGTTGTGTCCGTCCACCGTCTTCATAGAAAGAACTGTGTGAATGTGAAAAAGGAAGTCATTTTTTGGACATAACACACTTTTAACAGATTTCCCATAAACAATAATCATGAATGCAAGAATATCTTCATGTTTCTGCTACAAAACCCATGTAAGGTGAAAGTGACACAGATGTAAAAGTTTATAAATCAAGCTAAACAATCTATTTAAACTTATTTTCCAAACTGGGGCTGTTCAAAGAGTTATCTACAACATGTCATATATTACTTGTTCATACTTTTTCATCCACTTCAGGTTTAAATGATCACTTTAAATCGAACAGGGGGGTTGTACACACCTGGCTTGCGCTCTCTGCTTGTATGATGGTCGTCGTCACTGGCGACCGGCGGGCTTACTATTATGGGCTGGTGCAGGTGAAGAGGAGGAGGGTAGAAGACAGGAAGGGGCACCATAACCGGTGACACCATGACCCTGGAGCCTGAGCCCACCAGGGGAGTCACCATGTTGGGGTGGTAAGGCATGGAACTGGTGGGCGGAGGCGGGAGGGTGTGGGAGGGCGAGGAGTGCAGCGGGGAGCGGGGGGAGGCGCGGCTCGCCGAGCTGTACGGGGACGACGGCGAACTGGGAGGGGAGGATGTGGAGGAGCACGGAGGGGAGGAGGAGGTGGAAGAGGAGCGCTTGCTGACGGACAGGTCCACCGGCTCCAGCTGCGTCTGTGGAGTGTGAGGCTGGTGGAAGGCCTGCATGGGCACTGGGTAGAAGGTGCTGGGATGGGGGAAGATCACGCCGTACGGCTCCGGGGTTGTCACTAAAGAAGTGTAGAATGACTGTGAGGAAGAGGAGGATGGAGACAAAAGAGCAGAGAGGTAAACATTTCCGTTCTGCTTCGAATAACATGGAAAACACGTTTCTGCAGCGCAAACAACAAAAAATGTAAACTCAGTGCCCTGCTCGGGAACAGAAAGCTGTTCTGAGGACAGTGTGTGTGTGTCCATTAGCTTGGCAGCGTGTGAGTGTGTAACCATTGTATGCAAATGTCTACTGTGCAGCAGCTTGTTTGTCCAGGAAGAGCAAGAATGTGGGAACCAGTCAGTCTAGACACGCAGCAGGAGTGTGTGTACTGGTGGTGGTGGTGGGGAGGTGAATAATGGGCAACATGTTCAGGCATGATGGAGGCACACATATTTCACTCAGAAGCATCCAAAGTGATGTTTACACAGACACTTGTCTTACCGTCTCCATGTCTGTCTTTGGAGGATAATCATACATCAGCATGGCTGCCCAGACCAGGCTCCTACAAAATAAAACACACAGTCATCAGCGTACAGGAATCACCAGACTGTCAGCTCACACAGTCAGCAATCCTTCGACAATAAATCTGGGGTGGAAGAACAAAAGAAACATTTTTTATGACTGAGCTGTCATTTTTCCAACACAGCTTATTTTCTCTGGTAAATCTAAAACTTCCTGGATGATTCTTTAGATTTCATGCCGTAGTCTTGAATTTCCCCTTTATCTGGCAAACACACCCAGTAATCTATTATGTCTCAGCTTCAATTGTTGCTGCTCTGGTCCCAAAAATGTAGAAAATGTCACTACTTGCATGCCAGAGCTACACGTCTTCTTTATCTTGTTGATTTAAAACTGGTGAATAACCAACAGTCTGATTTACTGAGCACTGGTGTTTGACAGCATCCTAAATATAAGCTCTTTTGTTTTTCTAATCTAAAAAGCTTTGAACTCCAGACTTAAGGAGAGGTGTCAGTACAAATACAACGAAACACTCTTATTTTGATGTAAGATGGAGATCGACTGCAGTTGATGCAACGAGACACAAAAATAAATCTGACAGATGATCGCAAGACAGATGATTGATGACTGAAGTGCTAAAGGAATTAAAACAATTTAATCTGTGAGTTTTTCTGGCTTTTAATGTGACATATCAAGCAGCATGACAAAACACGGTGACAAGAAACTTGATTTGTAAGAGCTCAAAAAGGGAAAACAATGGTTACATTAGAATTGTGGCATTAAATACTGCTGTAATGATCTCTGCACTTCACCTTGACAGTAAATTAAATTTGTTACTTTGGTGTACATTCAGTTTTAATTATCTTCATTCTCCTAAGATAACGAATCACTAAGTTTCTCAACATTTCACGCACACACACACACACACACTTCTTGTACAGTAATAAAAGCAAAACATATAAAGTAAAAGTAAGTGGCAAACATGAGTTGAAAGGTGCATGTGAGCGTGCCCAACACACTTAAAATAATAGCTTGAAAAATAGTTTTATGCCCTTTTTGTTTACAATCTTTCACTGTAATCTGATGCATAAATATGTTTGGGTGCGTGCGGATGTGTTAATGTCGGTTTCACATGTTGCAAATATTAAACTGACAAGAAAATCCTACAAACAGCTTCAGGGTGCATTGTTTTATGTTATTTTATGGGATTATCCCTCGTTGCAGGTGTGATGCATATCTAAAACACACACACACGATGGTGCTCTTAAACACACTCGCTTAGACACAAACAACCCGTCTGCACCTGGCCATCCTGAGTTAAGGTAACTGGAACCACATTGGAAACCACACACCCTTTTATCCAAAAAGTTGAGTTCTCAGTGTGTGTGTTAAATAGTGTGAAGCACTAAGGCAACATGAACTGTCAAAGAATGTTCCCTGAGGGATTGAGTGTGTGCATGTGACCTGATTAAAGTCCACAGTCTGGAGACAAGTTATCCTTTAATTATTAACAAATGGGCGAGAACACAAGCCATCACGCCCCTACAGCTCACGCATACGGGAAAACGCACACACAAACACACACACACACAGGGTCCAGATGTGGAGCAGGCCAATAAGAGAGCAGGATGCTCGGTGGCGGAGCCAGGAAGGGTGTGAACGTGATGAGTGAAGCCTCGCCCTTTGCCCGGCTCCAGAGAAACAAAGAGCCAGCAGTCAGGTGGGAGCTCGGTGTGTGTTTGAGAGAGAAAGAGTGTGCTGAGGGTGTGTTTTCTAATCTGCCTTTGAATTGTATGCTAGTTCAACCTGAGGTCAAACAATTGTCCTACTGTGGTTGTGTATCGCACACGCAGCTGACAAAAGCAGAAAGTCTGAAGCGCGCACAGATCACGACGCGGGGAAGGGACAAAAGAGTTTAAAGGTGCTTTTTCTAGAAAAACAAGAAACTCCAAAAGACCCAAAACATGCTTCAAGTGTGGAAAACAAGTGGTCGTCATAAGAGTTTCTAAAACCACTTAAGCTGTGTTCACTTTTCACACACAAAAATAATAAAACACAAGGAAAACTAGTGGCACAATACCAGCCTGAAATACTCGTATAAAAACACTCCGATACGCAGATCAGCTGCTCTCATGCTTGGTGTATTTCCTCTTCCACCTTTCAAGTAACGCAAGACAAAAGAAATGTCCAAAGTCTGGACATATTTTAAGATAAAGACAACAGACTGCTTGCTGTGTTCTTCATAAAACAAATGTGTTTATAACGTCACTGTGTATAAAGTAACCGCTTGGTACTGATGCTCAGTATTGGCACTAACCAAACTCAAGTACTTGTAGTTGTACGAAGTATGAAAAAACTAGTATAGGGGACACCCTGATGGAAAATACTCGTGAACAACAGAGTCACGGTGAAAGCTTCAAAATGAATCAGTAATGCGACAAAACGGTTAGTGCTCAGAGTGTGTGTTGGGGATAAGGCTCAGCTACTACCACACCAAGTATTAGCTCAGTATCTGTAAGTTGAGTTGTTGGCTAAAGGTAAACAACCAGTGATTAGTTTCAGAGTTTCATTCAGATCTGCTGCTTCAGGAGATATTTTGCTAGCACAACAAACACACATGGGCTAAAATATTATTGCTCTTTCACCATAAGAAGTGGGTGATAAATATTTTGGCTGAGCAGAAGCTCAAATACCAAATACGAGACAGCAATTTAATATGACTGAACAGCTTTTAGATGTAAAACAGTTTAAACTTAAATCTGGTCAAAATTATATAGAACAAACAAACAAAAAAAAAGATTTAATGCTTGAATCAGAGAAGCTTAACACAAACTTGATTTTTTATAACCAACAAATTGTATAATCCTTTTAAAAGTTAATACAGTCAATTCACAAATTGATTTAAGAAATAGAGGAATTGTTTATATATATATATATATATATATATATATATTTTTTTTTTATTTTTTTTTTTATTTTATTTTATTTATTTTATTTTTTTTTATGACGGTTGGTGGAGATTTCAGACCCAGAATGCAAACTTCATGCTAAGAACTGAGCTAAAAACAAAGTAATTTATCAAACAAAGAAAAACGTCTGATGTGGAAACAACTTACAAATACTCAGGAGACAGAAGAAAACAACCGTTAACTGTGGCATGGAAAGCAGCAAAAGACTAGCCAGGAACTAAAATGATCAAAACGCCAGCTGAAAGCTAAAAGTAGCATAAGAAAACTTGAATAATGTCACTTCAATGAAGCAGGATTCAAAGGGAACAATATTTTGAAGTAATTGAATATTTCTCGGGCAGCGCGGTGGTGCAGTTAGAGCTGCTGCTTCTCAGCGAGCAGGTTACCATGGATCAAATCCCGGCCGGGGGCCTTTCTGGGTGGAGTCTGAATGTTCTCTCTGTGCATGCGTGGGTTTTCTCCGGGTGCTCCGGTTTCCTCTCACAGACCAAAAACATGCATGTTAGGCTGATTGGTAACTCTAAATTGTCTCTAGGTGTGAGTGAGAGAGTGAATGGTTGTTTGTCTCTATATGTGTCCCTGTGATGGACTGGAGACCTGTCCAGGGTGTCCCCTGTCTCTTGTACAGTGACTGTTGGACATGGGCACCAGTGACCCCCATGACCCAAAAAGGAAGAAGCGGGTAAAAAGATAATGGATGGATATTTCTCAATTATTTCTAAAGGCCAATGTAATTAAAATTTAAAAATTGCAAACACCAACAGTCACACCGCCCATCTAACTTTTTTCCATTTCAGCTGCTCCCTTCTTCAGGGGTCGTCACAGTGAACTAACTCACATGAAGACAAAGACTTGGCATTGTTTTTATGCTGGATGTCCTTCGTGACGCAACCACTGACCACCGAGCTACCACAGCCCTCTGTGTGGAGCAGAGAGCTACATCTAAGGCACCCAGGGAGCAGATGGTGGGGGTTAAGGGCCTTGCTCAAGGGCCCAGAGTGGAGCAAATGAGGGTGGAAGCAGGTGTGGGTGCTTCACCTATCCCACCCACACTTGGATGATGTCAGTATAGGGCGTCAAACCAGCAACCTTCCAACCACAGGCTCGCATTCTCTAACATCTATGCCACCACTCCCACATTGCCCATCTCAAGTCAAGTCAAGGCTCATTTGTCACATGCATCACATGCATCACATGTGGTACATGTGGTGGAACGAAACTGTGTACTCAGGGTTCCAGTTACATCCAACAACCGTATAAAATGTAAAGAAAAACAGTAATGTATTCTAATAATAGTAATATCTCCTTAAGGAGCTGAATATATTTTGAATGGCCAAAGTATCAAAAAGTACACAGAAGAAGTTAGAGTACAACAAATTAAAATAATAATAACAATAATCATAATAATAATAATAATAACCAGAAAATATTTGTCAGTGCTGAATCAGTATTTATGTGAGGGGTCTAGCTTCACATCAAGGGGGGTGATAGTTTCTAGAAATCGTGCATGGTAACGACTAACCTCCAACCGTCAGAAATCTGTTTCATATATTTAAAAGTGAAATCCACTCCAGTTTTCCTTTGCTTCAATGAAGGCAGACCTGCTCATGAACTCCACCTACAGGCAGGGAGGGTAACTGCATCAAACACTTAAACCATCTGTCACATTTTTCACCTAGTTTTCACGAGTCAGTGGTTAGATAATCAAATCTACAAACAAACTGTACTCAAACCTGAGCGACACTGTGCCTCCTTGACATTTTAATGTGCAGAATTTATCTCTTAGGTTGGGAGCAGAAACAGCCGGAGGGACAGCTGCAGTTTCAAACGTACACTTTGTGAGCATCCACACATATACTCACGTGCTCAGGTAAGAACAAAAAATGTCCAAGTGTCACTTATCTAAGTACCATCTCTCTTAAAAAGTAGAACAACTGCCTGCGGGGTTGAGTAAAAATTTTGATTCCTTGAAGAACCATGTGTCTTTTCAGGAACATACCATTCCTCTGAGAGTTCACCTGTCAAACAGGTGTGTTTTTTCCACGAGGTCCCATTTTTAAATGAGCCCAGGAACAAATTGGGCCGTTAAATCGAGACGCTTGAAGTTTCCTGTGCTCACTGCGAACACATAAAGAGACAGTCAGATCTGGGAGGTGAAAGAACGGACTTGTTTTAATCTGCACGTGGTTAGGGTTACGAGTTCATCACGCATGGAGGTGGAGCGTTAATGTGTGCACAAAACTGAAACAACCAGCGGAACGAAGCCTCATTTTGCAGCACAGCATTTTACTCATTTCAGCAGATCAAACATAAAATCTGTTCATCTTTTAAGCCCCCGCTGCCATTAAAGATGGCCAATACTTGCAAATGCCTGTATCTCTTTGCAAAATACTTCATAAACCCCCAGATGGATTTTAATGAAACTTCCTAAAGTCCTAGAGTTCACAGATCATGCAACGTCCTGGTTTACAACTTTGGCATCCAAGGTGTCAGGCCTGCCTCTGAGGTTTCATTTCTGTGTGTGTGTCATAGGATTAGTGAGGTTTTTGCAGCTCCAGTTACTCCTAGAAGTCAACAACCTCCTTCAGCTGCAAGATAGAAATCAGGCAGCTGTTGAATCCTCGTTTCAGGCCCCCCACTTACCCCCAAGTGGTTAAGGAGCCAGCATGTGTTGAGATAAATGGTGCATGAGAAGCCCTAACCCGGGGTGTCGAGGAGTACTTTCCTCGCTGCGCACCAGTGGGTGTGTATTTGTGCATGTCTGTAAATATTGTCCTTCTTCGTCAGTACAGCTACTGTGTACTCAACCCCAACCCACTCAGCAAACACTTCCTACATCCTTTTTTTTCCTTCTTCCTCCACCCTTGGCGCGCAGTTCTCCTCCAGCACCTCCTCTGCAACGCTCCCCAACAATCAGTCATGTCTCTGCTCCATTTATCTGAACCACACACCACCACCACCCTGCAACCATTTTCTCCTTCTTCTTCCCCTTTTCCATGAATGATAAAAAAAAAAAACAATGTGACCAAACCGGTGGGGGGGGGGGGGCGCAAAATTGTGGGCTTGGAGTCTCTGGCTGCCACGCACTGCTTGTGCACGCTCAGAGCTGCACACAGACTTTCTGCTAGCTCAACAGAATGCACACACTAAATCACTAAAGGGCTAAATTATTACAGACACGCACACATGCTCTAATGGCAACAGGCTGGAGATGATGAGATCACCAGAGGGAGAGCAGAAACCTCCAGACAACAGCTTTGTCCAAGAGCACACCACTGCAGCGCACGCTCCAATCCCAGAGTTCCTTGCTCCTGATTCTTCACGACTTTTCCGCCTCTTTTCTTCACCGCAGGTCAGAGCGGTGGGGCGTTATCTCAACGTCTGATGCTTCTGACGACAGATTGCTAAACTTCACCTCATAGGGCAATACGTTGCCTCATTGATCCGGAGCAGAACTTCCTGTCTACACTGACTCCAGCTCAGTTACTGACTTTACAATTAGTCCTGATGTGAGCTCCTGATTGGCTGACTCACCCAGGTGGTGAGCTAATATCCCAAAGTTTTCAACCTCCCGCTTCAGTCACGCTTCCTTGAAGAATGCTGCTTGTTTCAATGTCTTCACACCCTCCAGTGAACCCCCCTCCCCCCAGCCCCCACTTAAGTTTTACCCCTTACCTCACCCCTTGTTCCTGACTCCCATAATAACATAAGCTGCTGACTCCTCTCACTTGGAGGCCCCACTATCCTCTTATTTTGGCTTCATCTGAGCTCTCCCCCCCCCCCCCCCCCCCCCCCCCCACACACGTGCACGCACACACCTCTGCTCCTCTCCAGCAGCAGACTGTGAGGTTGCAGGCCTGCAGACCTTAGGGGGAAAAGCCAGAGGGGGGCCATCACCAGGGGAGAGGAAACAGGATCCATCATCAGACACACACACACACACACACACACGCACACACACGCACACACACACACACAAGAAAACATGAGAAAGAGTTGTCAAACTCTGACAAAGACAAACACACACACCTCGAGTGGAGTTTGTCCAAGACAGCAGCGCTGTGAGGCTTTCCAGACGGCCGAGGACAGAGACGAGAGGGGAGCGGAAGCCCCCAGAGTTCAGCCCCACTGTTATTATTTCCACAGTCCGTGATGGCTGTGGGGGTGTGAAGGAGAGTAGGAAGAGGAGAGCACACACACACACACACACACATATACACACCTCCCTGCAGCAGCAGACCCCCTCCACACTGAGGAGGGGGTCTGCTGCTGCAGGGGGTCTGTGGTTTCCTGTCTGACTCCCGCCCCTCAACCACCCCATACCCAAAGAATGAGAGAGGAGATGGAAAGAGGAGGAAAAATAAAAATAAAAAGCAGCCGCTCTGACCGAACTATGTCAAAATGGAAGAGGAAACAGAAAATGGGAAGAAACCGAAGTGGGTTTCAACCAAAATATGACAAAACTTCAATGAACCTCAGACATGGGGGAGGAGGGGATGGGGTTGAGGGGGTACTGGCTCAGTCCAGTAGTTTGTGTGCGCACGCTTTGACATGACATACATGTGTGTGCTGGCATGCATTAGGTTGTGTAACCACTCACAGCTTTTTAGGCTTGTGGCTGTCTGAGTCCCCTAACCTCCCACAGATTAATGTTTAGCTCTAATGTTCCCTCAACGTGCCCTTTGAGCGGTGTGTGTGTGTGTGTGTGTGTGTGTGTGTGTGTGTGTGTGTGTGCACAGTCTTGCGCATTTTGTTCCACCAGATAACATCAGCATGTTGATTTGGGAAAGGCGGCGTAGAGCGGGGTGGGGGTGTGGATGAGCAGAGAATAAATTGATCATATCAATAAAAACAACATCCTGTCATCTTTTCCTCGTCATGTTTCTGGACTGGGACAAGAAAAGTCAGCCGAGAACAAAGAGGCAGAAGAGAGGAGAGGGATGTCGTTCCTCCCATCTAGCCCCCAACATCCCTCCCTCCTCCCTCCTTTCTCCAGGCTCTAAACAGGATGAGGGCTTCATGTGCCAAGTGGAATGTGTGACGCAAGCCCAGGCCTTGAAACAAAGCACAGGAAACAGGGAGAGACGCACAGAAAGGCACAAGCTGAAGGAAAAAGAGCTAAAAGACTAAAAAAGTGCTCAGGTGTGAGCGAGGGTTTCAGTCTGTCGCCTTCTGCCTCACACACTCTCACACACACCAGTCACGACACCCCGTCATCTTCTGCTCGATTCAAACTCCACCAGTGACTCCACGCTCAGACCACTACATTATTAGAAATGATCACGTGAAACGGTCAGCCAAAAGGTCAAAATACACTTTAAACTTCTTTTCTCTCACACTTACATTAATGTTTAATAAACCATTTATTACACCTTATTACATATTTAAATTTAAACTAAGACTTTTTTTAAAAATCTGACTTTTTTTTATGTTTTGCCTTTAAAAAAATTAAAAAAATCTAGAGGAAACCTTTTATCTAAACTTGATGAACACCAGAAACAGTAAACCCAGCAATGAAACAAGCCAACATTCAAATAATAATAATAATAATAACAATAACAATAATATATTATAATTATTCAAATTAACATTTTAGTGATATTTAACGGCTGCTTGTTATAAAGAAAACTTCAAGAGAAAAGTATCTTAATTTTATTTTTAACGTATAATAAATATGTTATCACAGAAATAACTTAAAGGTTAAGTTAAAAGGTGGAATCAGGGTTAGACGACGCCGACAACAACAACAACAACAACAACAACAACAACAACAACAACAACAGTAATAACAGTAATAACAAGATTATTATTATTATTATTATTAATAATAATAATAATAATAATAATAAAGCAGCTCATGAGAAGTGTCCAGGCTCAGACTATGTGCTGTGTATCAGCCTGACACTTACTGTTCAGAGGAGCCTCTCTGTCACACAGTACTCCTGCTCGGTGGTTCGGTTCCCAGCTGAACTCAACGGAAACGTGTCTTATTGATGGAAACTCCACTGAAGAAGTCAAGATCTCCTCGGTGTCTCTGACATCAGGCTCCAAACACACAGGCCGATGGCTCCACAAACAAACAAACTAACAAGAACTTCCCCAAGTGACCAAACTCTCCTCTGTCCGTGCGCAACAGTGTGCGCTCGTGTATGCGCCGCGCAGATTTGTGCCGCTGCTGCGTCACAAGATCCTGTTTGTTCTCCTCCAGGGGTCGGACCACTGGGCGGGGCCTGGGCGGTGTGTGTGTGTGCGCGCGCGTGTGTTTCAGCCGTAACTTCAGTCAGTTTTCTCAGCTCGTGCCAAGACAGATGAGCAGAAGCCAGGAAGTCAGTTTTGGATCAGAGGCTGCTTAAATCGTAACTCTTGAAAAGAAACCTGCTGATAAAAATAAATAAATAAAATCTGCCTTCTGTTGAGGACATCTGCATCCTCAGAGTGTTTTGTGATTAATGAGATTTTCTGACTGTGAACAAAACATCTGGATGGTTGTTGCATTTTGTTCAATCGCACATTTACAGTATAATTTATGGAAGGTTGTACAAAATGCAAACAGAATGCAACAACGTGCAAATCCCACATTCACAATGGAGCACAGTAAACATACCAAATACTAAAACTAATTGTTAGACTTTTTAGGAAAAAAAGTGTAATTTTGCTTAGAGCTCAGAAACAATGAGACAAAAATCTGTAAAAGTAAATTATATGAGCAAGAAACAGCTGCAGGAGAATTTGACAATAATTAAAATAATTGGCATCAGTTTCAGGAAGAAGGCGAGGCTGAGGAGGAAGAAGAGGCCGAACCAGAAGTAAAGATGGACAGAGGTTCAACACCTCAACATGACACTTCTGGTCAATACTGAGGTCATTAATATTATTCTAATAAATAAAAGTATTTATGAAAAAATCCAATATAAATCTTAACAGTTATTGTAATTTATTATTAAGATTTATTGTGATTTTTTTTCAAGTGATCTTTAATAATTGTTCTTCAAGTTTTCAAATGGTCTTATAAAAAAACATTAAATATTTACTTTTTGTACTTTTTCTATTGTTTTTATTTTTTAAACTGTCACTCAAATTCCTGTATATCAATCAATCAATATATTTTATCCCAAAGGGAAATTTCATATGACCGTTTCCTTGGAATACAAGCAAATCAATTTGTTTATTAACTTTTCTTTGTTTGAGCGCTAATAAGTCACATAACTCAAGGGATGATCCAGCGATGGATGACGTAGCAGTTTGATATTACGTCACAAAAACTCACCATTTGTTCCACGTTCTTTGACCATGTCTACAGAAATGGCAAAAATCAGTTTTAATTTACAGGTTGTTTTTTTTTTTTGCTAACACATCCTGACATTTATTAACAACCATGAAGAGTTTACGATCATAAAACCTCTGTAAATAACACATTTCAAATGTGGAAAAACTCATCTGCAAACAAAAGTAGTATAAAGTTTACGTGTTTTTTTCAGTTAGATTTGGAAGCAGAAGTACGAGTGAACGCAGTAAAAAGACGTCGCCCTCTGTGTTTTGTTTCACATTTTGACGTGACGCCTGTCCAAAACAACAAAACTCAGGTGGAAAAAAATCTGCCTGTGTTGAAAAACACATCGATCGGTTAGCAGGTGAGACGTTTACCTGCTGATCTTATCAGACAATCATTGAGCAACAATAATGTATCAAACTGCCTTTAATTTTCCTTTAAAAATTCTTATAGGAGTAATGAAAGTAAAAGTATCTATGTAAGTTATGTTGAACCCATTGATCCGCACAGGCACTCGTCAGACGTGTAGATCTGGTGTGTTGGCGCAGATTCACAAAGAAGTTCCATCTTCCCAAGAACTAAAATCACTCAGGAGTTCATAAAACGTGTGAAAAAATAAATCACCAAGATTCAAAGGAACGGCCTGTTTTGAGCAGCTGAACGAGGCCAAGAAAACACGTTTCAGGTATTTGTTTGAAATAAAAAGTGAACGTCTGACCTGCTCCTGTGACTCTCAGCGTGCTCCGGTGAGAGTTTTCACACACGCTGAAACCTAAACGATAAAAAGGTATTTAGAAGTTAGTTTCTGTGGGAAGGTTGTGAATAATTAGTATTTTACCTGTTGTAGATAACATCTGGCTCATCTGCTGTGAAACATCTGAGTTGTTTTAAGACAGAAACTTTGGTCTTGGCCCAGCTCGGACTAGTCTTCACTCACAAATGAATCCCGTTTCTCCAAACTGAGGTCATTCAAAGATCCATCTGCAACAGGTAAGATATTCATTGTTTGCAACCATTATACAGAACCCCATGTCTAAGGTTCTGGTGTGAACACAGGTTTTCTGCTCCCACACCTCCCGTCTCCATGCAAACTGAGATTTTGGTATGAAAAACTTTTTTTTAACTTTTTCCTAAGTGGAGAATCATAAAAATAAATTTTTGGTGAATCATGTGAACTTATGATACAAAGCTTTTGAAAAATGTGTTCAGATGGGTTGGTTCTGTTTAGTGGGTTTGTATTTATGTTCAGGTTCTCAGTGACTAAAACAAGAACACTGTCAGTTGGACGTTGCATTTGATTTATATCCAACAATTTTCAGTCAGATCATCTGGACAGTTTCTTTTTTTGCTGAAACGTTTCACCTTCCATCCAGAAGGCTTCATCAGTCAAGGAAACACACAACACAAAACTGATTCTTCCCCCAACAGCTTACTCCAAAGTGGAACAAACCAGTTATATGTTGTATACCTGGATTATTGAGCATGGACATTTTTGGTTTTGAACCAGTTTGACATGACTGTCGACGAGGAAGAGGGCCAGCACAAGAGGAAGGGGGCGTGCCAAAGTCACCATCTTAGCACCAAAATAACTGGTTTGTTCCACTTTGGAGTAAGCTGTTGGGGGAAAAATCAGTTTGGTGTTGTGTGTTTTCTTGACTGATGAAGCCTTCTGGATGGATGGTGAAACGTTTCAGCACAAAAAAGAAACTGTCCAGATAATCTGACTGAAAATTATTGGATTGTATACCTGGATTATTAAGCATGGGCTATGCTCTGTCTGGTTGGACAGACAGAGCATAGCCCTGTCTGTCCAACCAGGAGCTGGAGTAAAAATCTAACAAAGTGAAGTAATTGGACCATGACTCTAGTGTCTTCGTCATCAGCATTTATCAGGTTCCTTAAGTATTACATCATAACTGAAGGCCAGCTTGTGGTCCGGCACTACGAGCTTAAATATATTTCAACAGTTTGGTGCAGTTTGTCACATAAATCACACCTCCCTCACTGATTTAATGGAAAAGATGGTGCAGGTTTAGTGTTTAATAACGTAAAGAATCTGTTCTGACATAAATGGAAAATAGTGAGCAAGGATTAGAGGCAAAAACCAGGATTATAAACACTAATAATGTAAAGCACAAAAGCCAGGGTAAAGCCACACACACACACACACACACACACACACACACACACACACACACACACACACACACAGGTTTGTTTTGCTATCTTTGTGGGGCCTTTGCATTGACTTCCATTCATTTTTCATTCATTTCTATAGCCTAACCATGACCTTTATCCATAACCTAACCATTACCAGTACATACCTAACCCTAAACCTAACACATCCTCAATTCACACCTTAGTCCTAAACCTAGCCCCTAACCCACCAACGGGACTTCTTCTTATGGGGCCCGGGCTTTGGGCCCCATAAGGAGCAGTTGGTCCCCACAATGTAGTATAAGTTGGAAAAATGGGCCTCACAAAGTAGCATAAACAAGGACACACACACACACACACACACACACACAAACACACACACTGACAGCTGTCATCGCAGGCCCGTCCTTCATGCTCAGCTCGTGCAGTGGGGCGAGGCGGTGTTGGGGATTTGTCGGTGTTGTTGCAGAGCTGAATGATCAAACAAAACGTTTTTTTATTTCCAGATGCTGCTTTTGTAGAAAATCTCAAGTCTTTCAAGTCTGAGGACACGTCACCTGAGCTGACCCAAGTCTGCCTGGGAGACACGTGGAGCAGAAGGTGCTCCTGAAGGTTGATGTCAACAAAGCTGCTTTCTGTCAGAAATGATGAGATCTTCTGTAAACCTGACGTCTGCCCCTCGTTTCGTCCAGTCTGAAAATTTTGCCTAAACGGTTCTTGAATTTTTCTCCTTTTAAATGTTTCAGATGAGCTTTAATGGTGCCTTTTGAAACCGAGTAGATTTTACGTGTTTCTTACGCAATTTTCTGGAACTTTTTCACGTCTAATTTTAAACAATCCTATAAATAAATAAATAACTAAACATTTAAATGGTGGTCACATTTAATTTACTTTATGCTCACAATGAAATAATTAAAAAAACAAATGATAGCAGAATATGACATGTCTACAACTTTTCTGAGCATTTTCCTATTTTACATTTTCTTCAGTAAAACGTTAATTCTGTAAAATGTTACTGTAAAAGTCAGCATAATGCTCTTTATGTCAGTTTCCCTCAGGGAATCAATAAATTATGTTTCTATTTTATTTTATTACATTTGTAAAGTTTTAAGTTGCATGAAATTCACATTGGAGATTAATGATCTGCTCATCTAACAATTTTTTTTACCTGAAAACTCAAACAAAACGTGCTGCTATTATAAATATAAATATACAAGTTTTTTTTTTTTTATCTTATTCAACATAAATAAAAAGTATCCTCCTTGATTGGGGGATTTATTTTCAGATGTTCAGATTTTGAAAATAAATTGTGGAATATGAATCTGAAAGTACAAATGACTTCAAATATTCTATTTTTTATTTTGTCATGACTTAAATGTCATAGTTTTCAGAGTTCTATTGGATCCATGTGTGTATGGAATATTACTTTTTAATTCCTAAATCTTTTTTCATGATAATAAAAACATATTTATACTGACACTCAGTACATCCATCCATCCATTTTCTTTTACCCGCTTATTCCATTTTGGGTCACGGGGGTCGCCGGTGTCCATGTCCAGCAATCACTGTGCGAGGGGCGGGGTACACCCTGGACGGGTCGCAAGTCCATCACAGGGACACATAGAGACAAACGAGACAAACAACCATTCACTCTCTCACTCACACCTAGGGACAATTTAGAGTTACCAATCAGCCTAACATGCATGTT